TAAATAAAAGATATACACATGCAAACAAGGTGTACATCACTTTATATATATAAAATATTAATGACAAATTATAGGGGAACCAAACTATAGGGAAATCCTAAGCCCCTCTATTGTTGATGCAATCTTGTTGGGAGACAAAGTTTTCTTTATTATGCCACTTAGATCATACCTGAACAGGGTGGCTTCTAAACCTAATAACTTCTGAGTCCTGGCAGACTATATACAAACATACAAGCATACACAAGCGAAGAAATGTCCTGAAAGGATCACCAAGGAACCAAGGAACACTTAGGGCCACCAAGTTAGGAATCAATGAGTTAGGAGTCGATATAAGTGAGACCCAGATGTTGACTCTTAGCCACGAGAACTGAAAGAATTGAAAGCGCTAAAGGGAGTTGAACAGAGACTTTCAAAGGGCAGCTGGAGAAGACAAAGTATTATAATGAAATGTGCAAAGACCTAGAGTTAAAAAAACAAAAAGGAAGAGAGCACTGTATATCTTAAACTGAAAGACCTCAGGAAAACATTGTGTATGGACAAATTACTGTATGATGCAAAAAGCATCAAAAAAAGATGGAAAGAATACATGGATTCATTACCAAAAAGACAGTTGGCATTCAACCATTTCAAAAGAAAGCATATGAGCAAGAACCAATGGTACTAAAGAAAGAAGTTCAAGCTGCACTGAAAGCATTAGCTAAAAACAAGGCTCCAGGAATTGATAGAATACCACTTGAAATGTTTCCATAAGCTGATGAAGCCCTCACTCATCTATGCCAGGAAATTTAAAAGACAACTTCTTGGCCCACTGACTGAAAGAGATCCATATTTTTACCCATTCAAAAGAAAGATGACCCAGTAGAATGTACAAATTATAGAACAATATTATTAGTATTACATGCAACTAAAATCTTGCTGAAGATCATTCAACAATGAATGGTTGCAGCAGTACATTGAAAAGGAGCTGGCAGACACCTTCCCGACCCGATTGCTGAAGACAAATGTGTGATAAGCAAATGTGGTGAAAAAAGCTGATGGTGCCCCGTTATCAAAAGATATAGCATCTGGGGTCTTAAAGGGTTGTAGGTAAACAAGCAGCCATTTAGCTCAGAAGCATCAAAACCCACATGGAAGAAGCACACCAGCCTGTGTGACCACGAGGTGTAGAAGGGACCAGGTATCAGACATCAAAGAACAAAAAATCATATCAGTGGTGTTCTCTGGAGTTCTTTGCTTTTAGCCAAGATCCATCTGGTGTCTAGTAATTTCCTCTAGTTCTTAAATGCTTCCTCCCCCCCTCTATGATCCCAATTCTACCTTACAAATCTGGCTAGACCAGAGGATGTACACTGGTACAGATAGGAACAGAAAACACAGGGAATCCAGGACAGATGACCTCTTCAGGACCAGTGGTGAGAGTGGCGATACCTGGAGGGTAGAGGGAAGGTGGGGT